TATATATATATATATATATATATATATAAATATATATATATAATATATATATATATATATATATATATATGTAATATGTATATATAATGTATGTATATATATGTATATATATAAATATATATATAAATATATGATCCAGCGCCTCAGCGTCGCCATCCAGAGGGGAAATGTTTGCTGCATACTTGGCTCACGTCCAGCCTCGGAGGAGCTGGAGGAAATTCATGATCTTTGATACATTGTGCCATTGTATTCATGTTTATGTTCTTTTCTGTAAATGTATTTTGTTTATTAATAAATGTTCACATAGAATAAAAAATATATAGGGGGTGGTAGGAGAAGAAAATATTCAAACAGCTCAGGGGAGAACCTTGAGTTTTCACTGAGGTACGTTTATTGTCTTCTCTGAGGATGAGGGTCCCCATTCCAGCTATAGAGGTGGTACTTCCCTAAATTAAATTATAAAAAAAATAAATATATATATATATATATATATATATATATTAATATATATATATATATATATATATATATATATATATATATATATATATATATATATAATTTATATAATATAATTATAAAATTCTGTCTTTGTCTCTCTCTCTCTCTCTCTCTCCTCGTGCCCAGGGTGAAAATATTAACGACATGGAGGGAAGTTTCGCCTGGTGTTGTACTTTTTTTATAAATTGTGACTGGCGGGGCAGCCTTATTGTGTGTGTGCGTGTGTGTGTGTGTGTGTGTGGTGTGTGTGTGTGTGTGTGTGTGTGTGTGTGTGTGTGTGTGTGTGTGTGTGGTTGTGTGTGTGTGTGTGTTTGTGTGTGTTTGGTGTGTGTGTGTGTGTGTGTGTGTTTGTGTGTGTGTGTGTGTGTATGTGTTGTGTGTACTCACCTATTTTGTACTCACCTATTTGTGGCTGCAGGGGTCGAGTCCTAGCTCCTGGCCCCGCCTCTTCACCGGTTGCTACTAGGCCCTCTCTCTCCCCGCTCCATGAGCTTTATCAAACCTCGTCTTAAAACTGTGTATGGTTCCTGCCTCCACTACGTCATTTTCTAGGCTATTCCACTGCCTTACAACTCTATGACTGAAGAAATACTTCCTACTATCTCTCTGACTCATTTGTGTCTTCAACTTCCAATTGTGGCCTCTTGTTTCTGTGTCCCCTCCCTGGAACATCCTGTCTTTGTCCACCTTATCTATTCCACGCAGTATTTTATATGTCGTTATCATGTCTCCCCTGTCCCTCCTGTCCTCCAGTGTCGTCAGGCCGATTTCCCTTAATCTTTCCTCATAGGACATTCCCCTTAGCTCTGGAACTAACCTTGTCGCAAACCTTTGTACTTTCTCTAGTTTCTTGACGTGCTTTATCAAGTGCGGGTTCCAAACAGGTGCTTGCATACTCCAGTATGGGCCTGACATACACGGTGTACAGTGTCTTGAATGATTCCTTACTAAGGTATCGGAATGCTGTTCTCAGGTTTGCCAGGCGCCCATATGCTGCAGCAGTTATCTGATTGATGTGTGCTTCCGGAGACATGCTCGGTGTTATACTCACCCCAAGATCTTTCTCCTTGAGTGAGGTTTGCAGTCTTTGGCCACCTAGCCTATACTCTGTGTGTGTGTGTTTGTGTGTGTGTGTGTGTGTGTGTGTGTGTGTGTGTGTGGTGTGTGTGTGTGTGGTGTGTGTGTGTGTGTGTGTACGTATGTGTGTGTGTGTTTCGCTTTTCAATATCTGACTTGGCAAAGATTTTTTTTATTGCATCGAGTGATAATAATATATATATTTCATCATTCAGTATCACGTTTTTGTATTCTGCGTCAGTACTATTTGTCACGAATCACACAGCTTCAGCAGAACAGAATATGATCAAGCTTGATACGAGGAAGGGAAGAGCAGCTCTAAATCCTTGAATCAAGAGCTTTTCACCAGCATTAAGGCACTTTGAAGGAAGAAACAAATAATTAAACATGGACCCATACTGACTCTTGTCCGGCACTGCGACTCTTGTCCGGCACTGCGACTCTCGCCCGGCACTGCGACTCTTGCCCGACACTGCGACTCTTGTCCGGCACTGCGACTCTCGCCCGGCACTGCGACTCTTGCCCGACACTGCGACTCTTGCCCGGCACTGCGACTCTTGCCCGACACTGCGACTCTTGCCCGGCACTGCGACTCTTGCCCGACACTGCGACTCTTGCCCGGCACTGCGACTCTTGCCCGGCACTGCCGACTCTCTGCCCGACACTGCGACTCTGCCCGCACTGCGACTTGCCCGGCTGATTTGGAGCGACTCTCGCCCGGCACTGCGACTCTTGCCCGACACTGCGACTCTTGCCCGGCACTGCGACTCTTGCCCGACACTGCGACTCTTGCCCGACACTGCGACTCTCGCCCGGCACTGCGACTCTTGCCCGGCACTGCGACTCTTGCCGGCACTGCGACTCTTGCCCGACCACTGCGACTCCTTGCCCGACACTGCGACTCTTGCCCGGCACTGCGACT